ATAGGCACTGCTAAGCATTTCACAATCCTATGTAGTTATTGCTTTCCCAGAACCACCCACTAAAGAAAGTTCTCTGTGGCCAAATGCCCATCAATAGGAAACTGGTTGAATAAAGGCTAGAGCGTCTGTCCAGTGGAATGCTACATAGCCATTTAAGCAGTGACGTAGCATGTATGTTGAACTTGGACAGATCCCAGGATACAGTGTTAGGTACAAAAAAGAGCTTATAATACAGTTTACATAATACAGTCTTGCTAACCCCCCCATCACACACACACACACACACACACACACACACACACACACGGGAAATCTGGAAAGAACCTGGAAAAACTTAACAGTGTTTACCTCCAAATAGGACATGTGGATAGAGAACTTAAAATTTTTATTTCTCAAATCTTTCTGTCCTACTATTTTTTCTTTTTCTTTGGCCATAAACAGGCCTTGCCCTTCTATTAAACCAGCGAAGTAGGAGAAGTGCAGTGAAATGACACGTTCCCTCGCCCCACCCCCAGGTTCTGTCCACAGGCCTGATCTGTGCTAATGTTGTGTATTATTCACCTAAACTCTGTTTATGAGACTTTCACACAGGTGCTGCAGATTATCTGCATACATAAGAGTTGCCTGCAGGGTTTGGGTGAATACTGTGCACGGGCTGTAGAGAAAGTACTCATTCTCCTGTGTCACAGGTAGTTGGTGTTTTTCAGGCAGGGTGGAAATGTCTCTTCTAAGACAGAAGCTCAGCTGGAAATAAAGTGAGCAACCTGACGAGTGGCAGAGGCACTGCGATGCGGGGTGTCACCTGAGAGGGTGATATTCAGATTGCAGAATGGTGCATCTACACTCTCAAACGAGTCCTGGCCTTCGTCTGGGGGGATTCAAGCAGAGGTCCTTCCCTATTCAGTCAGAAGGAAGATGACACAGATGCCATGCTGATGTCACCAGGGGGAAACCGAAACTCCCATGAAACATGTTTCTGTGGCTCCGTGTTCACACGCACCTACACAGGGTTCGTCAACACAGCCAGCTCCTCCTCCGGGCAGCAGGCTGATCTGCAGTGGAGTCTAATATGTCCCTTTGGTCAGATTTTGTTACCTTGTAGATAGACAGGGGTTTGAAGATTTCTGTCCTCGGTGTGTTTTATGTGTGAAATGGGATTATTAATAACTGCCTCTGCACAGACACCCTCAGTGACCCTGAACTCACCACCTCAGTTCTGCTCACGTATAATGCAGCATGTGAGCATAGACGCGATACCTAAGAGTCAGTCTTTTGAAGTCAGACAGGACCAGTTTAAAGTAGACTTTGCCTCCTGTTTGCTATCTTACCTCAGGAGAGTTATTTAACCCTCCCTGAGCCTGTATAAAATGGGAATCATAAATTGCATATTAGACGGTTATAATAGAATAAAGTGAGTTAATGTATATAAAGGGATTAATAAAATGCCTGACACTTGATAAGTACTCCATATATGATGCTTTTGTTTGTGCATCATATGAAATTACCACTATTTGGACTGTTTTTGGCCTAAGAAAACCCAATAATTTCATATGGTTCACCCATATATTTGTATCACACATCTTAAATGGTCTGCTAACGTCAGCCAAAATCTCCTTCTCTGTAACTTCTACCACTAGATTAAGATGCTGTCCTTCGGGACCACACAAAATGCATACAATTTCCTTCTTCCAGCTGGAACATTTCAAAAAGAATAAACTAGCAAGAAATAAGTTACCCAAGGAAAGACCATTTTCTGGTTTGTGAAACTTGACAGAGTATAGTCTGCTGGCTGTGCCCGTTATTAAGCTCTTGCCTGTCAGCTCTGGACTGCTGCGCTGCCCTCTGTTTGTGACGATGGGGCTCTCCCCATGTCTGCTTATCTGGCTCTGCCAGTCGGGAGCAATAGATAGAGGGAGACTGCAAGGCTGGAGGAGGAAGGAGGACATGGCTATTCCTGTTTGCTTCCTATAAGCTGCTTGTTTATGTCTGTATCATCCTAGTGACTTCTTTGAGTACCATTGAGTACCAGAGCTCATTGCATTCTTACCTGACTTGGGTTTGCTGGTTGAACTGCCAGCTGATGATAACTCGTTCTAAGGGTCTGTCTGAACCTGCCTTTCTTAAATACCCACTATGTGCACCGCATTGTATGTTAGGCATTTTGCATGTATTGTCTTATTAAATTCTCATACGAACCCTGCAAGGTATGTGTTCTTTTCATGTTACAGCTGAGAAAGTGAGCTCAGAGCTGTTAAGTGGCTTACGCCTAGTCAAGCTAGCTGTGTCGGAGCTGAGAGTCTAGCCCCGGTCTATCTGGCTGCATGGCATACACTCCCTCTGCCTCGCAGTGCCCGCTGGGGCTCTTTTCCTGTGCCACACTCCTCTCTTTCCTTGTGTTGCTGGTTTGGCCATCTAGGAGTGCTGCTTTTCTTCGCCATGTTGGACAGCCCTCCCCAGAAGGAATGCTCTCTTGTGCTATTCAAGTTGCTGTGTGCCAGCTGTCCCCACCCTCCATTCCACCAGCCATGGTGGATGTTGCCTCTGCTTTCTCAGAGGCACTAGAATTTGTCTCTGTTCTGCTTGTGATGCATACAGGGCTGGGCTATTAATCATGCCGCAGGCCAGGCTGCACAGCACCTCTGGAATAATGAATGGCCCAGTTCCTGCCAAAATGAGTCACACCATGGCCATGAAGAAAACTTATCTCTCCCCGACTCTCTCCTCATCTTCTTCCTCCCTCTTCCCTTTCTCATCTCCTGTGATCTGTCTTGCCAGTTGTAATTGGAGCATTTTCTTCTGTCTTTAAGTGCTGAAGTGTCTTTGGGACTTGTTAATGTATCCAAAGGCTTAAACAAGGCCCATCGAGAACATTTATGGCTTTCTAGCATGGGCAGTTAAGCGTAGCCTACAAGCAGCTTTGGGTATATATGGCCAGGAATATAAATGTTCCTTTTGGAAAACAGGAGAATGCCAGCAAAAAAAAAAAAAAATCCTAATGATGCTATCAAATGAAGCCTTAAAGAAGCAGCAGTATCTTCCCAGTCATGTGATGTGACAGAGGATGCACAGGTAGTTGTGGTGGTGTGATCTTTGGTCTGAAAGGAGTGTGTGGGGGGATTGAGGGAAGGCTGCCCCAAAGGGGTTCTGAGATGACGTGTACTAAATAAAGGAAACATCTCATCACTGACCCTTCTCACATCCTGAATGTTAGATAATCCAGGATTACCTAACAAGTGAGACCTCTGCATTTCCTTACTGTCAAAATATGCTTCCTCAAATTATTGCTGCATATGTATTATCACTTAGGAAAGCTTTGGGCTGTACTTGTGTTTCTCACATCACCAGATATCTAGAGGCAGGCATCCCAGGACTTTTTGGTATCTTCAAAAACCCAGGCTCCTAGCTTTCTTCACTGTCGTCATTAATCTGTTGGTTTATTGCCTCATGGTTGCAAGATGGATGCTGTAGCTCCAGAGGTCATAATTTTAGTCAAGGCATTAAGAAGGAGGGAAAAGTTAGCAAGACACCAGCTGTATTTGTTCTTTATTTCAGGGAAAGCAGAAGCTCCTAAAAGATGTTTGTTTATGTTCATTGGCCAGAACTATGTCACATCCCTAACTAAGATCCTTAGCTGTAGAGGAGTCAGGATAGGCAAGTGTAGCTATTCTATACTCTGAAATGGAGACGGCAAGAAAAATGGGGGTTGAAAGTACGTGTTGGATTAGCCAATAAACAGTACCTGCTACAACCAGATGGAGGGAAATCATAGAAGACTAAATTGGGCAGGCAAAGGTAGTCTCACCGAACAGTAGAGGAGAAGGAAATTAGTATTCTGGAGCCCCAGTGTGTGCCAGGTAGCATACCTGCTGAATACATGCATGTCACAGTGCCCCCGTTGTGCAGGTGAGAAAGCTAAGCTGTGAGCAGTGTTCTGCATGTAGCTAATTTAGGAATCTGGATTTAAATCCAGATCTGTCTGATTTAAAAACCTATTCTCTTTCTACCAATCCATGTTGCCTCTAGAAAATTCAGGTCAATTTCGTAGCATGATGCTGGGATGCCTCACTGAATCTCAGTACCTTCATTGAATTGCTAGCACCTTCAGTCACTTGTAGACAAAGTAAGAATCTGGAGTAATTATTTTACGAGCCCCTGATAAGAAAGAACAAGGTGAATACTCAAGTCCTTACGTTGAGATGATAGCTAAAAGAGAACTGGCCTGGGAGGCAGGAGACCCAGCTCTGTTTAAAACCTGGGTTGCTCTAGGATCTTGGGTAAGTCACTTTCCCTTGTCTGTGAAATAAAAGGTTGGACTAGATGATCTACAAGATTCTACCAGCCCTAGAACACTTAGGTTTTGCTCCTTTCTCTCATGTATCTTTCATTTGTCATTCATTCAACAAACACTTATTAATGGCCTACTATATGCCAGGCACTGTTCTAGGTACTTGGAATACATCAATCAACAAACAGAGACCCCTGCCCTGTGGGCCTTGTGTTTGTGTGTGTGTGGGGGTTGGGGGTGTTGGAGGCAAGGGGCTCAAACAATAAACAAAACACAGTCAATTAGTCATGAGTAGACATATGGTCAGTTCTGTGGGGGACAAATGTGGGAAGGGGGAAGAGGGACAGCAGTGCTGGGAGGGTCCAGTGGTCCGCAGTGAGAGCACAGCAGTTGAGCAAAGAAGTCATGGAGGGAGGGAGTCAGCCGCACATGCTTGTGGTGCGCTGCAGGCAGAGAGAACAGCTAGGGCAAAGACCCAAAGGGGGAAGTGTGCCTGGGTCTTCTGAGCATTTTATTCCCCCACCTGAGGTCTGGCCTTGAGCTCTTCTTACTCCAGTGCCATTGTTTCCTTTCAGATGTATTGATTTTCAAACCAGTTCAAAGCTTCCTGGGTTTGAAGGCCATTGACCTCTGACCCTGCTGTAGCAGTTAGGAGCACAGAGCCTGGCCACTTCCTTCACACTTGTGCCTCATTTCACACTGCAAATGCACTCAGTTCCTGGGCGTACTGGGAAAATGGTGATAGAACTACCAAAGCCTGGAACTAGGAAGGTCTGATCAAAATAGCACAAAGGGCTTTTGAGCCCACCCCCCACTTCCAGACTATTTTCACTGTGTTTCCTGTTTAATGCCTCCCGAACAGGGAGTGACTTGGTGTTTTTGTCACATTCCCAAACAAGTGTCTTTGTCTATCAACCATAAAACCCCAGGTACAACAGAGCTGGGTTTTCATTATTGCAGTTCTTGCTCCTGGGCCAACCTCAGGTAGGTGGCTGAGCCTTCCCCATCATCTCTGGAGATGAGCTCACTGAGCAGGGCCAAGAGCCGGTGGGAAACCACAGTCACTTGTTGGGCTATGCAAAAACTGGGCTGGGAGTGTTTAATGAAAAGCTTTGAATACGTCTTGAAACATAACACAGAAAGGACAAGAGTTGCCTTCTTGAGGCATGCAGAGAAGTTATTTGGCATATGAGGACAGTGCATTGTGAAGGTGCGTCGTTATTCCCAGTTAAACTGAGAACTGGCAACATTTGAAGTATCCCCCCTTGGTCCTAGTGTGAGGTTAGCATGTGCCCCAGCCACCTGCCGTAAGGCAGATTGCACTTCAGGAAGAAGCGAGACCCCCTAGAAAGCCCCATGCACATCGTGTGGGCCTCTGCCCACACACTGAACAGGCCTGAGGGTCACTCACAGGATATTGAGAAATTTAGTTCTAGGGAATGACTCGGCTTGAGTTTCATAGTTCTCCTCCAGTTACGTCTCTTTTTCATATGGCCTTGACGTTAGTTTGATGGGAATAGCAGGGAAAACTTAACTTTGATCTCTCTAATCTGGGTGAGGTTACAGGTGAGAATTTCAAATAATGTACAAAATGCAAGAGGCATTTGAAAGGAGAGGAGAGTGAGAGTCTGTATCAGGACGCAGGCCATTGAACCAAATTTGAAATTAGGTTTTCTTACCCTGGGAAACTGAAGCAGCAAGCATCTTTTGGGGGTTTCCTAACCTGGCTTTCCATCCATTGATTTGTCCCGTGCCATGCAATATTTAGAGACAACCGAGTCATTGACACAGAGTGCGGGAAAAGCATATTGTTAGAGATGGAGATTGTACAGGTAGAAGTGGAAGCATTGGCCTAGAAAATTCTAATCTGAGAATAAAAGTCAGTCTGAGCATAAGAAAGAATACAAGTGTATGAGGATCTCTATTTTAGGTGTTAGTCTGTTTACAAGATAAAAGATATTTGTTCACCCATTCAACAAATATATGGAACACCTCCTACTGTGCCCAACCCTGTTCTAAGCACCTGAGACGCGTCAGTGAACACCACCATCAGAAAGTCTCCCTGTCCTCATCTTACTAGGCTGAACCATATGAAATTGCTGTTTCTGTAGGTTAAAAACAACCGAATATAAATAAGACCTACTATATGATCCAACCATTTTACCCCTAGCTATTTACTTACAAGAAACGAAAGCATATACCCAAATATTTGTATACCAATGATTGCAGCAGCTTTGTATGTAATAGCCCAACCTGGAAACAATCCAAACATCCATTGACCAATGGATGTAAAAACAAACTCTGATATGTCCGTAGAATGGAATACTACACAGCAATGCAAGGGAGTGAAGTGCTGATACCTGCCACAACGCGAATGGACCTCAAAAACATGCTAAGTGAAAGAGACTGAACACAAAAGGTCATATGGTATATGACTCCATTTATATAAAACTTTGGAAGATGCAGGCTAATCCATAGTGCCAGAAAGCAGATCAGTGATTGCCTAGGGACAGGGGAGCAGGGTTGGGGACAGGAAGGAGGGACTACAAAGGGGCAAATGGGATCTTTTGGGGGGCGATGGGTGTGTTCACTATCTTGATTGTGGTGACAGTTTCACAGGAGTATGCGTATGTCATGTCATACCTCATCGAATGGTACACTTTAAATATGTGAAGTTTATTATACAACAATTATAGTTCAAAGATAGTGTAACATACAGCAGCAGTTTTATATGGTTCAACTAACAGATAAATCTCAGTGATGAATTAACTTTCAAAACCATATATTCATTTTTCATACATTTATTGAAAACTTACCATGTGTCAGGCACCATGAATGGTATTGTCAATGAAAAGCGAATGAGGCTATTGCTGTTTTAAAGCCTAGTGGGAGAAATAGGTTTGTAAACAGACAACTGAATGACTTTGCCACAGGCAGTTCTGAAGCAATTACCAGGTTTAACCAAGTTGTCCTTTGTCGATTGAATTTATGCATGCATCTGCGCCTTCCTTCTTTTTCAGAGTGACTTGTGGTCTTTGGGAATCACCGCTATCGAGATGGCAGAAGGTGCTCCCCGTAAGTACCTTCCTCTGGGGTGCAATCTGTTGCTGGTCCTCTCTGTGGGTGCTGCAGTTTCCTTGCCAGGAGCTGCAGTTGCTTTACTTCCGCTACACCGAGCCCTGCATGCATTCGAGCTGGTGTATTTAGAAAGCAGAGCCATCTTAAATCAGCCAGGAATCCATTCATTTCAGAGCTGTGTGAGAATCTTGTTTTTATGAGAAAAAAGGAAAGAAAAAGAAAGCAAACTTTGGGGAGTCTTGTCTGTTTTACAGACTAAGTGTGTAATTTATTCTTGAACTGCTCTTCACCTAACAGAAAACTGACCAAACTCACAAGACTGTAAACTCCAATGTATGAAAATTTAAAGCTGATTTTCAATGCATAGGTTATGCAAACACTGTACTCAATTGCTGTCAATCCTCTTTAAATACTGAAGTTTAGGATTTTAGATTTCCCGCTATTACTTGAGACAGAGCGGCCAGGGCTCTGGCGATCTTGAGACTCTCAAATGTTTTGAGATCTGGAGCACTGGCCCTGCCAAGCGTCTCCATCAGCTCTCTGGTGGTCGTGAGCATGTATGTGCTCAGAGTCCCCTACAGGAAGTGGGACTGGCTGAGGCCCTGGCTGCAGCAACAGCACCGAGGCTACACCTCCCGAGGGCCACTCCTCATCACGACCAAGCGCGGCAGGGATACTGAGGCAGACCCTTTCCTGGAAGACACAGGATTCCTTTGCAGGCAGCTTTCACTCAAGCAATCCCCTGTGACTTGCCGAACCTGCGTTGGACTGAGGATGGTCTGGGACACTTCCACCTGCCTTTTCTCCCTGCCCCCTGCACTCAGGGTCAGACTTGCATAGCAATCTGATGACTCTCCCCTCCCTCCCTGGCTCCCTTCCTTTTCTAGTCACACAGGAATTTTCCCCGGTAATATCCTTGAATGATTAATACCACCTTGGCTTCTGCTTCTCAAAGGACCAGGACCAAACAGGCCCTTTATCTGCATGACAGGTCCTTATACTCATGACTTTCACCTTCAGGTTGTCATAGTTTTCTTATTTCTCAGTCTGGAGTTGGTGGAATTCATCTGCAGCATGATTGATTTGGAGAGTTTGTTGACAAAATTGCCCTCATTCACAATGGTAATAGGCAGGTATGAATCAGAAAAATAATATAGTGCAGTCTTAAAACCATATTATCATTCTTAATGAGTGGTAAATGGGGCTAAAAATAAACTTCTGCCCACAGAATCCTTTGGCTTTTAAAAAGCACGTATTCTTATTCTAGGTATGAAGAAAAAATTCTCCCAAATGTTTGGAAAGTAAACCAATAAAATATTTTGATTAAAATAAAAATGTATGAGTGCTTTCGCTGTTAATGATAATGTCATGTTTACAAGTTGAGATATTTTTATAACTTTGTTTTTCTGCCAGACTCTGTTTGACTTAATCCTCTGGTCTTCCTGGGGCCAGTGAATTTAAAATCAAAACAAAAGAAAACCCATGATGAAGCCTGAAAAGCCATTCGGGATATCTGGAAACAGAGAGAATGGTGTTTTGGGCTAGTGCTTTGGACTTCAGGAATCTACGTAGATAGCATTGTGTTGGGATGAGCCTTCAGTGTATAGGAAATAGACTGTGGATTGATCAAATTTTTTACTTTTATGGCTTAGGCTTTTACTGATAGAAATAACTTACCATCTCCATTGTGGTTGTCATCTGATGTTGTTTACTTTGAATGTCAGATGATTATTTACAGCAAAGATGACTGGTTTCTGACCCTTTAGTTTCCTTAAATATGTAAAAGTAAAAGTAAAAGTATATATTCACTAGAAATGTTCACAGTATCAGTTTGAAATGTGTTGTGTTTTATGAGATGCCTTTAAGTAGGCCTTGGCTCTTTTAAATGCTTGCCAGAGTGGAAGCGTTGGATCTTCTGACTCCATGCTCACTGGTCACGTGTGAACTCAGAGAGCCACTTGGCGGCATTATCTGCACAGCCAAGACAGGCTTGGCCTGGGTTTGGCCTCCTGACTGGAGCTGGCCTTTGTTTTGGTCTCTTGCAGCTCTCTGTGACATGCACCCCATGAGAGCCCTCTTCCTCATCCCCCGGAATCCAGCGCCTCGGCTGAAGTCTAAGAAGTGGTGAGTTTGGTCGTGTTTTGCAGATCTAAGGGTGAGGGTTTCCTGTGATTCTCTTTTGGATTAGCTCAAATCCCCAGGTCCTGCTGACAGGATGAGACTAATATATACCGAGACTTGGTGAATGACTTCCCACTTGCTGTCATTCATCTTTAAGTACATATTGAGTACCTACTATTTGTACAGCAAGTCTTTATCCCCACACCTTCAGGGTAAGAAGCTATTAGCTAAAATGGGTAGTGGAGCCCAAGTAATAACATGGAACCTCTTTGATTTATAACCCCAAGTGATATCTTTCCTGGCAGCACAGAATATCTTATCAGAGAGTGTGATAGTTTGGAGAGTCAGCCTGTTAGATTGGCTGACTTCTCTTCTTTTCCTTAGTACAATAATACCCTTAAGTGCATAAATGCACCTGGTAGTATTTGAGGTGATTTCTCTGGCACGTGCATGAGCATTTGTAGTTTTTTTTTTCTTTTTCTTTTTCTGTTGTTTTCTCTTTATGGCAGCAGACCCTGGCTTCTTATGTTGGGCAGACACATAACCTTTCCTTTAAATAACCTTATTCGCATTAAAAGGTGAGAATTTAAAGAAAACTACTACATGAATACTGGTATGAGTGGTATTATTAATAGGTGTGGCACAGATTGTGTTGTTAGTAAATGACCGACTGAAGTTTGGGGAACAGAGTTCTACAGGTCAAGCCAAATGTTGGACTTTTGACTTTATCGTGTATTATATTGAAACCTTTGTATCTTATTCTATAATTCATTGCTTGCTCATTTCCCACTATGGAAATGGTGTATCCTTTCTAATATATTCTTGAATCTCTGATTCCTCGTGCACTGGAGCCCATTCCTGCACCACTGTGACCTTCTCTCCTTTTTCTAGAGACAAATCCAGGGCAGTGAGACCATGAAGGTACAAGAGCCTTCTGCCTCCGTCCATATTCCCGTGATCAGACCAGGCCCTTGACTGGGGTGCTCACGTTTCCCACGCGGCCTCCCACGGGCTCACTCTCCACCACGCACAGAGCAGTCTTAACTACTGCCAGTCATCTGGCGATGACATCGCAGCCCTGGTGGAAGAGGAGAAAGGCCCGCTGCACAGGGAGAGGGAAGGAGACAGCTGGAAGAGAAGGCAGTTCTGAGGCCTGTGAGGGGAGAGAGCAGGAGTTGCTATTGGTAACGGAGGCAGAGCCTTCCCTGCTCCTCCTTCCTCTCCGAGGGTCCCTGTGAGAAGAGACGACCATTCTCTCCCCAGCAACAGCCTCCCATTGGGCACAGCTAGCACGTGGTCGCACAGCACCCCAGGCCCTGCTGCCTCTCTTCTCCCTGGATCAGACTCCTGGGGACAGTGGAGGCGACAGAGACACTACAAAGCCCTCTGCTAGATTTCTGTATGTCCTTTGTGCCAAGCCTCTCCAGGGAGCCTGCTGTATACGGTGGGCTTTGCTTACCCTGCTCCTCCTCTCCCTTCACTGCCTCTGGACAGGTATTTTGAGATCCTCCGCAGAGAAAGACTAACTGTCCACAGATGTGTTTTATTTGACTGGCACTGTGTGGCCACACACCCTGTTTTAAAAATATGCGTATTAACTGTCAGCAGTTAAAAATCTGGTGACCGAGCATGACTTTAGATTTCTGGCCTTTTTTTTCTTTTTGCAAAGATGCAGCGATACTGCCCTGCTGAGTAGCTCCTGCTCCCTTTTAGGACAAGAGGTTGTCCTAAAAAGGACCCTCCCCAAATCCAAAGTCCGCTGGTTCTGACACTTGCCTTATTTCCATCCGAACCATGGTCTGCACCAGCCCTTTGTTCGACCCACCTGGCCCCACGGAAAGAGAGTGGACAACCCCCGCACTACCCCGTCGGTTTCCATTGACCAAGCTCCAAAAACATCAACTCTGCCCTGACCTTGTTGGAGAAATACAGACTTTTGGGACAATGCAGGCTGATTTTTCTGCTGCAAACCTTTGACAATGAGAGCTAATTCTGCTCATGCTGAAGGGAGTTGGAGAAATACAGGAGCAGTGAGGCCAGGCCAGTTCCATCGCCTCTTGCCGCTCCGCGTGCCCTTCCCTGACCCTCGAGGAAGGCTGTTCAGGAGTGTGAGTCCCACAGTGTCACACAGGGAGAGGCAGAGAGCGAGTAACCGATCACTAGACAGTGAGTGGGGGAAACAAAAGCCCTGATGCTGGGCGCTGTCTCACTTAGCTCCCAGCCTCTGTAAAGGTGAAAGTGCGGCCTCTGGGCACAGGATGCCCAGCACTTGATACAGCTCCCATTGCTCTGCAGTTCAACTCCACGTTTTAAGTGAAAATATTTAAATACTTAGAGTATGTTATCTTAAAAGACCAGGTCCAAAGTAATTTAAAATAAGTTAGAGTTTGCTTTAATAGACTCTAGGGTTTGGGAGGAAATGAAACATTTTCTTTTTCTTTTTCTTTTTTTTTAAAGGAGAAGACTCCAACCCTATCCCCCACCCCGACCAAAAGAAACAAAACTCCAAAATGTTCTTTTATTTCCAGCTGTTCTTTCCCTAAATAAGGTATCAGCTGACGTGCACTGTTCTCAGTGTGTATGTCAACATACGACCAAAGGGAGGTGCCATTGTAGAGATGGGGCCATGAACTCTTTTCTTTATAAACGTTCAATTGAGGGTCATTTTCTGCATTAGCGAGTTACAACATACCAGGCATATACTAGTCTCTTAGTGGGAACATTTATTTTCCTTGTACCTTTAAGATTAGAGAAATAAAGGCAGTAGCACTGCTCTTCCCCCTGTTGTCATGGAAGGAAGGGAAACCCCACCACTGACAGGAGCCTGGCTCTTCCTTCCCTCATCAGTGCGATGAGGGAGGCAGGAGGTTGGGGCATTACTGAATACTCAGGCAGTGCAGCCCTAATAAAGAGCCTCTGGGAGGATTATAACCTCAGTTGAATCAGAGGAAACCAAGGATGCTCTCACTCTCTGCCTCCATGTCACCACCAGCAAGTGACCAGTAAGGCTGGGACTCCTGTTTGCTCCTCCTGTCTCCTGTGTGTGGGTGGATTGCAGCTGCATGGCTAAATCAGCTCCTTCCAAAGACGTTCTCCCTTCTCTTCCTGCCCCACTCGTCCACGCTCACCTGCCCTCGCCAAGTGTACTCAGTGCCATAGCTTCCCTCCAAGGGTTTCTGGAGAAGGACAGGGATGACTTCAGTCCTCTAAGAAAATGGTCAGTCTTGTGCCTTTCACATGACCTCTAAATTTGAAGAGCCCACACAAGCAAAGCAGCACTCAGCTGAGATCATTAGAAAAATATAACTTCTTCTATTAATAGACACAAGATTCCCTGATCCAAACCACTTGTGCCCAAATGCAGACTTGGAGGCCCAGCGAGGCTGAGTGGCATATCCAGAGTCCGGTCTCCTCGCTGGGAGAGCCAGCCTGGAACCCCAGGCCCCTGCGTATACTCCAGAGCTTGCGGTCACTCCTGTTGTTTTACGAAGCATCAGTTCTGGTTCTTTCTGAGTTGTCAAGTTCTTTTGTTTTGAGATATGACAAAGCCCTTGTGTGTGTATATCTGTGTTCTAAAAATGATGATAAGACAAAGCAAATATGGAAAATACTTCAGATAGACTGAATTTGCTAGTAGTAGTGTGACTTTGGACTTTATTAAAGTCAAAATAAAAACTACTACACAAACTTTTAAAATTAACCTTTTTTGCACAGTCTCCTTGGAAATAACAGCCCTGTCAACTCTCCCTGCTAACCTATCCAACACTTAAAAACACTTCGATTCAACAGAAATTTGGAATAAACAACTTCAAATTTCTGTACCCCTGTCCTAAAGGCAGATACTCTGTTCCTTAAGCCTGGGGATGGTCAGAGTTTGCTGGGACATTGTCATCATAGTCACAGTAATAATAATAATAATAATGATGATGATGATAATAAACACATAGATGGCATTTGTGATACCAGGCACTTTTCTAAGTATTTTATGTGAATTAACTCATTTATCATCACCAACATTTCTTTGAAACAAGTACTAATAATATCCTCCTTTGCAGCCAGGGAAACTGAGTCACAGAGAAGTTAAATAATTTGTCCAAAATCACACAGTAAGTAAGTGATGGAGTCCAAAGTAGAGAAAGAGGATAGGGCCAATGCAAATTTTAAAGATCAGATTACATTAAGGGAGTCTTATGATTACCAAAAACTTTTAGCCCAGCTGGTCATGATGGTTAATGTAACAATCTTTTAGGCATTTTGAATTCCCCTAACACAATTTAATGTATAAACAAGATAAATCTGGGAATATGAAATGTTTGGTGGCACCAGTAGTAGAATTAGTGCCCTCAGACTATAAGTACCAATCATTAGCATTTATTTCTCCATGCCAACCCTTGGGAAATTAGTATTACTAACCTTAGGGTTTTATTTTTAAAGAAACAGAACTAAATTACCATCAGAGATTCAAGCAATATAGTTATAGAGATGCACTTTGAACCTGTTAGAACACTCAGAAAACAGTCACGTAATATTCAACGTTAGGTGAAGTGTTTTCACTTTTAATTAAATGTGTAATTAAGCATATTGATTTTTTGGTCACACTAACTTAAGGACTATGAATCCTTCTTTGAAGACTTAAGTAAGCATTATTTTCCCCTCAGACGGTACCATTTGAAGAGGAATACATTACCTATGGGATACATTACCCACTGTATAGTTCTGCACATGTAGGCCCTAAGTTATTCTCTTGAATTTTTCTTGAGGTTCTCCTTCAGCAGGAGGAAGACTGGAAGGACAGCTCTGTCTGATAGCTGAACACCCTTGAACACTGTTCCATCCTAGGGATCTGGCGATTTCTCTGGTTTTTTTAAGATGTCAGTATCGGGGAATGGAAAATTCAGGCTATTAAGTCTGGATCTCATTTTTAAGTTAGATGTGATTTCTTTTATTTATCATCCTCTAATTAATAGTTGAGCACTTTTTATAAAAAATGAACACTTTCCTGTAGTTGCCAGCCAGAATAAAGAGAATTGCCATTTGCATTCTTTGTGAATATTTAATGCCTTCTGTCTTAATTTGTTTTTGTTTTCATCTTTTTAATACTGGTTTTCCTACCTAGAAAAGCACTGTGTGGAGCTTGTCTATTTCTGTTTGCAGGTTAACTCATTCTCTTCAGTTCATTCCTTAGGAGAGTCCATTGCTTTGTTACATTTTCTTGTAAGGTCTCTCCTTGGATGATATTATATTTATGCCTCCACATACTTATTTGATTGATCAGACAAAGAAAATAATATCTACTCTCCAAACCTCCCTCTCTGTCCCTCAAAAGCACAGATTTGAGGGTAGCCGTATTTACAGCTCTTGCCCAGAAACTTTCATCCATGCATTCATTCATTCATTCATTCATTCATCGGACACGTAGAGCAGGTAGTACCCTCATGATACGAAGATGACTTGGGAACATCCTGACACCGCCGAAAATTTCCAATGTGCAAAACTCAAGGATGTGGTTTGAGGGACTTAATAGGGAAGGAAGCACATGGAGTGTCTATCCTGTTGTCACTATTTCTAGTGACATTGTGGCCGATCCTGATTCATCCTGGGGTGACCTCAAGCACAGTAGGTGACCCTTACTTCTATGTAAAATAATTTAAAACCTTGAACACAGCTTTGAAACTTAGGGAGGAAAAAATACCAACAATTCAGTACTTTAAAAACATGGAATGAAATGAAAATTGCATTGACCTGGGCAGAAATAGAGTGGTGCATATACAACTGCCTTCTAGCTTTTGAATGTTGAAGAACATGCTCCCCATTGTGCTCTTTATGGTTAGGATACCTCTCGGGCCTGGAGACCATACATATGTGTATATATATAGGGTCTGGGGGAAAACTTGGAAAAGACTTGCTCCGGGGATTCACTCCTGTAACTCCACAGTCCACCACAGGAGGGGGACAGAGCACAAAACTGATCTCTGCTCTGGGCAGGGTGGGGAGGGTGACCAGGGTTTCACCGTCTCCCAGGAGTGCCTTCGAAAAACATGCTGTAGAGTCATGAGCTTAATTGTTTATGACTCTGAACAATTTCTTGGAACTTTCAGCAAGAACATGCATGAATCATAGCTAAAGTCCACCATTAATTTGTGTCACATTGTGGACTTGCTGCCAGAATCCTAGGTATGGTATCTCTCACAGCTCTCCCTGCCCCATGAGTCTCCGGAATAGGCTTTATCTTTGAGGAAATATTGCCCATCGGAGGGAAGATAAATTTGCTTCTGAGTGTGAACTTAGTCCTTTAAAGTTAAATTTCCAAGTCCTTGAGTTAATGGCAAAGATACACATACATCCTGTTCTTATTCATTGGAAAGCAAAGTTCAAAAGTGATTCTGAAATTACCCTTTAAAAATTTGCCTCATCAAAGCTCATTTTTCCGTAGAAGAATCTCACTCGTTCTACAAAATGCACACCCCCTTACCCGTTCAGTCTTGGCTTTACTTTTCTTCAGCTTGCATTTTCTGCATCATTTAACCAGCCCATCTCCATGGCCCCTGACATACAGCATTCTCATCTGCGCTTCAGTTTTCCACTGATTGCCTGCACACCTAAACTGTCCTTTCCCCAGAGCAGTTTTCTCCTGATACTTTCAGGCCCACGCCTGGGCTCCCTAGGCCAGCAGCCCTTCCAGGTGTGAGTCCTATGTAGGTCTTTTTCTTCCCTTATTCTTTTTGGTCTTCTGTGTAACATTATGAATAAACTGGGCAAAAATGCTTTCATGTCAGTTACTACCGTGTTACCTCCATTGTGTGTTAATGGTGATGACACCTTGAACCCCATTGTACCTAACGTAGTGCCAGACCTATTTTGTGGTGGTGGATTTCTATGCTGGACAATTGGACCTTTTTTAAAAAAAATGCTAGCGTTTCAGAAAATATATTAACAAGTTCGCTTTTCCTTGGATTGTCATTTTATCTGTGGATTCATCTCTTTTGTTTGACAGGTCAAAAAAATTCCAGTCATTTATTGAGAGCTGCTTGGTAAAGAATCACAGCCAGCGACCAGCGACAGAACAACTGATGAAGCATCCATTTATACGAGACCAACCTAATGAGCGACAGGTCCGCATCCAACTCAAGGATCATATTGATAGAACAAAGAAGAAGCGAGGAGAAAAAGGTTAGGCACACATTTGTATTTCAGCAAGAGAAACAAAAGATGGACTGAATCTGGTCTTTTGATATATTCGGAGGGGACATGGGCATTTCAAATGGGCCTGCATATTCTTTAGTGTGAGGGGCTGCCTCTGAGATCACAGCCTCTGGGCGTCAAGTGGGTGAGACAGCTGAAGTGGAATCTTTCATGAAAAAATAGAACTGCGAAAAACATTACCTCTCCCAGGCACTGAACAAAGTCATATTGAGTGATACTATGAAGTGCTTTTCTATGACAAGTGATTTTCTTAATTCAAATGAATATTCATGTGTAGAAGACTAAAAAGCTACAGAAGACAGAAAATCTAAAGAAAAAAATTCATCCAGTTGACATTCTTCTATACTGACAGCTTCAACATTTAAGTTTTTGTGCTCTGAGGCTCATTTCTAATTCAGTTATTTAGAAGTCAGAAAGAATTTTCTTATAGTTGCAGTGATAGGAAAGATCATTAGGTTGCCAGGCGTGCTATCTGGAACATCAGATTTTGAGCTGAAGGTCATTTAAAGCACTTCTTTATTTTATAGATACAAAAATTCATGTCTTTATGACTCCTACACAGCACTGTCTTTTCACTGCATCATTGGAAAGCACATAAGTCCAAACTTGGGGTCCCGGGACTGTGCCCTAGTTGTTGAATCAAGGCTTACAATTCCTTAACTAGCATAGGAATTCTATGCTGATACTGTACAGCAGGAAACAAGAAAGTGAGCTGCTAAAATGAGGCAGAAAATGCAAACTGGAGAAAAGTCAAACGACAGATAGGTAAGGAGGAGTGCATTTTGTAGAAACAAGTAAGATTCTTACATAGTAAAGTGAATTTTGATTAGGCAAGTTTTTTAATTGGTAATTTCAGAATCACTTTTGAACTTCGCTTTCTAATTACTAACTCCAGTTAACTCATGATTTGGGGCTAAAGTCCACCATTAATTTCTACCATGTGGTGGACTTGCTGCTATAATTGTTAGTATATTATCTCTCACAGCTCTCTCCTGCCCCATGCGTATCTGGCATAGGGTTTATCTTTGAGGGATAGTATCTTTCTAAGGAGACAAGTTTGCTTTTGGAGATTAACATCCTGGCTGCATCCTGACCACGGTGAAAATCCGCATGGTCCAGAGCAGGTTTAAGGGGTGGCTGAGCGTTGGGTGGTAGGGAAGCAGAAAAGGGTGGGGCGTAGGAAGGGAAATGGGGAGGACAGCGGTGAGGACTTTCCAGGTGGAGAGCAGGACAGGGAGCAGGTGGGCAGAGGACAGGGAGAGGCAGTGTGGGGCTGGAAGGTGGGCATTAAGAGTGTGGTGGGAGTAGAGGGACGACCAGAGATTGAGGATGGGAGGGAGGTAGATGGTGACGTACTTGTCCTCGCTTCCCTCCACTCCACCTCTCTCCCCTTCTGTTTGGTTCAGAGGGAGTGGTGGAGGGTGGTAGACAACACAGGATGGGGTTGCTCTTCTTTTATTTGCATTTCTCTTCCTCTTTGCCTCTGCAGTTAATACCCATAGCCCAGCACAGTGTGAACGGGGCTCGGGGTGGGGCAGTGAGCAGTGTGGGAGACCAGACTGGCCCGGAGAGGTAAGATCAGCAGAGGGCTAAGGCAGGAGGAGAAATCCTCAGTGAAGGTAAAGGTTCCAGGAAGGTTCTTTCTTCTGCAGCTAGCCTCAGGAACTCGCAGGGAAGTGTGTGATCAGGTCAGACTCGGGAGCGGGAGGTTATGAGGCTAAGCCAGAAAGGAGGCCCATCTCCAGGTGTTAGTGGGTGGACGGGGATAACATGCCAGTCGGACCCAAGGATCTGGGAGGCCAGCCCAAGCTGGAGGGCTGAGACATGAGGAGAAAGGGTGGGTCGAGGTAAAAAACTAGGACTGATTTTTCAACTGCTCTTTGTCCAAGGTGGTCTTGGGCCACTCCATGAATTCAAAATTTTTCAGGAAATATTTTAGGGCAGTGTGTCAGACATGCAAACTTCAGATGCCAACTTCTCTAATAAGGATATTTTATCCTACTGTGGATATATAAAGTAGTTTAAGTGCTCAGACTCTGTTTTCAGGTTCGAATCCTGGGTTCAAATTCAGTTATGTGAACTTCACCCAAGTTTTCTCATCTTTAAAATGGGATCGGGGGTATGATAATAACATCTATTGCCTGGCATAGTTGCCAAGATTAAATTTGATAATGCATGTAAAATGTTTAATGCAATGTCTGGTACATAAATGCACTCAATACTAGCTGTTCTTATTTAGGCCATTCTTTATAGACCTATAATTCTTCAGGATGACTCAAAGGTATTTTGTGAGAACTCGTGACCTTTCTCCCTCTGACCCATGAATAAGAGAATAAAGCTGTGCCTCACATTGTTTTCACATTTTTTGGCACAAACTCTGGAATGTGACCCAGAACTCACCATGCCATGAAGGTAGATCATTTTCAATGTGTTCATTCTCTGCAGAGTGGAAAAGTAAGATTCTTGGAAATAGGTATATTCAAGAGTTATGTGGTAATTTAAGGAATCTAATCCTGTTTGGGCTTAGGGCCACCAGAATCACACTTCTAGTCTCATTTTTGTCTGCTCCCCAAGGAAGGGTGTCGATCAAATGAGATCTCATTCCTTTTGCTCAGTTTGAGCAAATGACTTAATTTGCTTCCTTTGCTACTACTTATTACTCTCTTAGCAGTTCTCTCTATGACCAGTTTTGGTAGAATCAAGCAATTTTACTTTGCATTGCTTTATGATTCTTTAACCTTTTATTTTTTCCTTTAGATATGTTGACACATGCTAATTTATCCCAGTGATATAAAAGCAATCAAACCAAATTCTGGTGAAGTATTAAAATTGAGGAGCCTGACAAATGAAGGTTTTACTCTGGAGAGTAGAAGTAATTGGAATAATTGTGTGCTTCTTTCCCTTGCTATAATTTCCTTTATTAGATAAAATTTCTGCATTTTACTTTGAACTCTCTATTCATCCATTTCAAGAAATTTGGAATATTAAACTTCCAGTGTGGAATATTAAAACACTTTATGTAGGATTTTTACATTTTGATGAAATGCTTCAAAAATAAGTAGCCTGAAAACTTCATACATATCTAAATGTGTGAAGCTAATTTTTGATTTTAGAAAATGCACTTGAATTCATCACCCTTTCAGCTTTGTTTCTTAATCTCTTTAATGTCTCAATGGTGTAAAAGGCAAGGTGTGTTTATAAATCTGAGAGTTCTCACTGCGTGATTTCTGCCTCCTAGTGATAATATAACAGAATTGCAGTTTTAGTTCCTTTTTAGGGGTATGCAAATGTCTCTAAGGTTGTCAATGCTAACCCACAGCTATGAAGAGGTAACAATTGTGTGACACCCTCCCTTGCATAAAAGCTCTTCCAAGAGCTCCTCATTGCCCACAGAAAAGTCTTTAGCCTGGCATATGTAAGAATCAGTGAACGATTTCATCCTGCCCACCTTTCTCTCTCTATGTGGTTTTCTCACACCTAGCTACTCACAGCTCATTGTTTCCTGAACATACTATGCACTGTAATACTGCCAGCCTTACTCATGTGGGTATGAGCCTTGGAACGCCCTTTTCCTGCCACTGCCAGCTGCCTGGCAAAGGGCCACTAACCTCCAAGGCCCAGCTCATTTCCACCTCGAAGACTTTACTGTCCCCTCTTTCATGAAGACCAGTGGACTTAGCTGCTCCTTCCTCTGATATTTCACTATTCATTTTATGTACTTCCATTTAGCATATGATATGTTGGAAAGAGCAGTGGTTTAAAATTGGAAAAGTTTTCTGGATTGAATTCTAAATTCAAATCCCAGATTGACTTTTTATTATTGAGATGACGTTGGTCAAAACACTTAGCTTCTTGTAATCTCAGTATCCTCACTTGAAAAACAGCCATTATTTTAGAGGATTATTAAGCAAAATAAATGACAGAACATAGGTAAAACTATCTAGCATTAGTGTCTGTCATGGGAGACACTCAATAAATATTTGTTTCTTTCCTTTCTTTGTAATCATAGAAGCTCTGATTATTGACTCATCTTATCCATTAGATTCTGATCTCCTCCAAATCAAAACTCAGTCTTATTCCTATATATGAACTCACTTAACATTTTACTGAATTAAATGCATTTCCCCAGTGGATCAATCAGAACATATTTTAACTATATATTTTTAGTAGCACCCATTATCAAAAATTGATTTGTTGCATTTATCGAGATAATCTCTGGACAATTTGTGAGTCCACATAAGTCATAGTAAAATCTTACTTTAAAAATGATGAATATCATCAATAAGTTAACCATGGGCCAATGAGTTTGGTATGAGTTGCTTTATAATGAGGGTTAACACATACGGAAAAGTTATTTTTCAGTTCCTTATCTTCTCTTCCCTGTGAACGTTAGGCATTGAGGACATATACCTAGAGTCAGCTGTGACAATCTTGAATGTGGTTAATTCCACATACTTAAATCCAGCTGGTGGGAACTATTGAATCGTAAGTCTGGAGGCCTGGAGTCTGTTCCAGCTCCATGTTAACCACGGCTCTTTGAGCTTAATTTATTTATGTATAAAAGGAGGGGGATTGGTCTTTACTGAGCTATAGTGTCTTTTTGTGTACTAACACTCTGGGAGTCTCTCTTTAGATGAGACAGAGTATGAATACAGCGGAAGTGAGGAAGAAGAAGAGGAGAATGACTCAGGAGAGCCCAGGTATGCGAGCAAAAGCCAAGTCTAATTTTCACATTCTGAATTGTGCTTGTGTGGAATTTACTTTCCTTTTGATTTATAGGTTCATTTTTAAGAATCCACCAGGGTGGTCTTATTTAATTTATGGCCCATGAATATACTCATTAATTTGGGAAAATTTCCCTAGGCAGACTCTTACGAAAATGTGGAAATCAGCATATTCTTTATCTTGTCCCCCAAGATTTATGGTCTCTATCCTAAGAGCTTGTTTCCTCACATATGTGCATGTAGAATGGGTAGGAGGCAATTGTCTGGGTAATGCAGGCCTGAAAGTACTTAAAATTGCAACTTTCTGGAGAACTAATACCTCTAGTATTTTTGGACTAGAATTCTGCGGTTCATTACTTCATACCTTTGAGAAGCCCATTCAGGTAGCCACTGTCCTTATCATGTGCCTCAGTATTTTTACCACTGCCTAATCCAGGAGGACATGATTTCCAGGAAGTCAAATTACATGCTAGACATGAAGCCCAAATAGAAACTTGCATGCCATTCCTGTTGTCACATGCCGCACCCCAGAATCCAGTGCTGCTTTATTATTGTCATCCCTATACTTTGTATTTCACTTGACTTTGATTCTGACTTTCTTCTAGCCTGTGTTTATAAATAATTAAGAATGGTGGGCTCACACTGCCGGGGTTTCTCTCTCAGGAGAGAACTCAGCTGGCAGCAGCTTGGTGAGTCAAGGGGAGAAGGCACACACACCATGGTGCCACACACTGTGAATGTTTAGTAAGACTATGGGGAGAAAATGCACAAATAAGAAGGTCACCCAGGTAGACGGGTCCCCATCCTCTAGGCATGCAAGGAGTGGACCCTAATGGGCCACCTTAGCCACCAATGCTAGAATGAGGTAGACATCATGTGTTTGTTTTTTGAGTTAACTCAGACCTATTGAGCTGGATTCTTGCTAAGCTACCGTAAGAGGGTGGGACTGGGCTTAGAGGGCCATCTAGTTTTTCTCTCTTCATCTGCCACAGGATTCCTCAAGGTCAAAGACCAAAGGAAAATTCTTTTGTTCCATCGGATATACAACATGTTGGCTGCCTCCACTTTAGCTGAGTAGAGATGATGACTGTCAAGTAGTGACATGGAAAATGAACATTCCTATAAGGCCAAGGACCGAACACGCTGCCTTCAGAGAAGTTGTACACTGGTTTTCAAAGCTTACCCAGATGACTGTGTCAGCCCTCTGACCACTCTCTGTAGAGCTGAGAAACCCTGTCTTTGTAACACTTGCTACACTGCATGTGAGGAGTCACTGAGGGGGCCAGACTGGCTGTACCTTAACACATCTATAAATGTAACAGGTCATTGCATCACATCAAAGATTATGTTCGTGTTTTTATGGATGCATCTAATTAATCTTCATGAAATCCTGAAAAGGAGAAAAGGAGCATGGTTATCTCATTTCAGAAATGAGGTGACAGCTCAAGGGTGGTAACCAGGTCACACACAGAGTTGATGATTGAGTCACTAATACAGCTCGGTTCTGCCGACACCGATGCAACATCAGTTAACGTTAATGGAGCATCCTCAAGTCATGTGAGGCTCGATTCCCAAGCCCATCACCTCTGCACAGAGCAAGTGGCCTGTGTAGATAAAAGCACCATCGTATGGGGTTTGTTTTAGAGTTTTACACAAAATCTCTAAGTTTTAGAGGAGGCTCGTTATAGACGCCAAGCATTGTTTATGGACGTCATGAACAAAGCCTTTTATGTCATTTTATGGTGGTATTTCAGCATACTGACCACTCTCTAAAACCAAACCTTGCTCCTCTTGTCGACTGCCAGCAGACCGGCTCCTCTCCCGGCATGCCTCACACCAGTTCTCCTCACCAGCACTGCTCAGCTGCCAGGACAGACCCTGCAGGCCATCCCTTGCTCCCCACATCAGATCTGTCAACAGGCTTCACTAACTCCATCCCCCTGTTGCTTCTTCCAGCCCCCACCCCCTGCTCCCATCCCGGGTGGGTCTCTACCCCAGAGCTGCTGCAGCAGTACTCACAGCCCTTGCAGACTGTCATCCATTCAGCAGCCAGACGGACCTGCTCGTGTTACTCCTCTGCTTAAAACCCCCCCAGTGCGTGGCCTTCACAGCCCACAGGCTGTGCCCCATCTCTCAGACCTCTTGAACCACTCTCCCTCTCATTCGCTCTGCTGTGGGAAGACAGGCTGGTGTTCAGTGCCTCAAAGAGGCCACACCTGTTCCCACCATGGGCCTCTAAAGTTGCTTTTCCTTCTGCCTGGAACATTCCTTCCTCCTCCATTGACTGCCACCCTCCCAGAGAGGATTTCTTGACCACGCATCTAGAGTCCTAATGTTCCCTGCCTCTGTCGCCCCTAAACAGTTATCCTTTCTTGTCTTGTACAGAACCTATTTATACCTGAAATTACACTGTCTGTAATTATTTGTCTGTCTGTCCCACATGAAGATAACTCTAAGGAGTTTGTTTATCTGATGACTGCTGTATCCCTAGAGCTAATTGCAGTGCTTGCCGGGTAGCAGGTACTCAGTAAATATGTGTGTAATGGATTTATTTCTTATTTATTTCCGGAAACTTCCAGAAAGATTAAAAGGGCTAGGTTCGAACAAACAAATAGAAGCCATTTCTCACTTTCCTATTCGGCTGCTGTGCAGAACCAGGGAGTTTGAAACTGAGTTGCTCACCTGCAGTTAGGTGCAGGCAGGGCAGCCCTACCCCACCGGCAAAGTGGGTACAGTGTACGTCCTCTTGTTCTGTCCCATGCGAGCACACTCGCACAACCACTATTTTACAGATGAGGAAACTGTTGCTTACACAGAATCTGAGAAGCAGTGAGCTGGGTTGAAGTCCCTGCTGTTCCTTCTGCGGCCAGAACCAAACCCGTTGGGTGTGGTGCAGTGAGACAAGCACTGGCTTGGGCTTAGCAGACTGGGGTCAGATCCTGGCTCTGTGTCGACCTTGACTCAAGCGTTTCCCCTCCCTGGCTCATCACGTCTTCATAGGACCAGCCTGATCTCTGCCTTGGTGGGTGAGGGCGATCTGTGCTCACCCGCGTAGGTTCCCTCATCGTCCACTGTTGTTCATTTTTATTTGTTTGCCTTTCCTAAATTTGCAAATAAGCTGGTCTGGAGCTCAGGGCTTGCACAGTCACTAAAGTCATTGGAAACAAATCTTTGCCATGTCACAGGGTGAGGGACGGTCCTGGAGGAGGTGATGACTCTGAGGATGTGACACCCCTCTAGGGACAGAGACAGCGTATGTATGCAGGGGTGCTACTGAGAGGGAGGCCGAACACTGGTCTCTCATTCCGGCTCTGTTTCTTTGGGGGCAAGTGATTTAATTAGCAGAGGAGCTGAGAGCTTGTGCTCTTCCTTCCCAAGTGTGGATGAGTTATTTGCCCACAGTCCTCCCCCAAGACTCACAGTAGCCACGGCCCCTGCCCCATGTGGGGTCCTGATCTCTCTGTCCTGCCCACAGCTCCATTCTGAACCTGCCAGGGGAGTCGACGCTGCGGCGGGACTTCCTGAGGCTCCAGCTGGCCAACAAGGAGCGTTCTGAGGCCCTGCGGCGGCAGCAGCTGGAGCAGCAGCAGCGGGAGAACGAGGAACACAAGCGACAGCTGTTGGCCGAGCGCCAGAAGCGCATCGAGGAACAGAAGGAGCAGCGGCGGCGGCTGGAGGAGGTGAGGACCCGCTCAGCCACCTCTGCACCCAAGCCCCTCAGCGGGGCTCACTCCTTGAGGTTGGGGGCCACAGCCTGCTCGGAGCACACAGAGCTTGACACCAAAGGGGATGAGGCCTGAACGCAGGAATCTTGCCCTGCTTTGGGGGTGATGTGGTCACTGCGGAGAAGCAGGAGAGGCCTCCACGCCTTCCTGTGTTGCCACACATCACCTTCTCAGTGAGGCTTCCTCCACACCTCAGTGACACTTTCAGCCCTCCCTTAGGCTGTCCTCCTGCCCTTCCCTGGTTGGTTACCTTTACCCTCTTCAGACATACTCTATCTGTACTTTCACGTGTCTGGATCTCCCTGCCAGAATGTAAGCTCCTTGAGGACAGTGGATTTTATCTCTTTTATTCCCTGATGTATCTCTAGTGCCTAGAACAGTGTCTAGTGCATAAAGTAGGTGCCCCATAAATATTTTTGGAATGCATGAACTAATATATGAATGAATGAGTCAGTGATTGAGAGGTGAAATACAGGTGTTAACTAGACCACAAGGAATAAGCAGATAAGAGGAATGCCAAGTATGGGAAAGCAGGCCTGCCTATTCACACGCCAAGTGTTTTACAAGTCCTTCACCTCAAACCCCTTAGGACCCAGGGCCTGTCCTGCAGCTTGTGGACAAGACTACCTTCAGCAGCAGATGCTGCTGTCATCTGTGTGGGAAACAATACTGCCAGCCACAGTTTCCTGCGTGGCTTGTCATGGACGAGGCTCTCACCCTTGTGGTTTTACAGGCATTTGTTAAAGCCTCCTTCCCAGAACATTGCCCATGTCTCTGAGGCTCCTTCCTCTGCCAGATACATCAAAGCCTCTAGACAGTTAGGAAACCTCGAGCGCATAGCCATTGGGGAAGTTGGGCGGCAGGTGAAAGGTTCACTAACTGCACAAGAACAGGGCGGTAGTTTTTACAGGTTTTCACATACCAGCCTGCTCCTCATTAATGCATTTATAGCGATTCACTTGCTTTGTCAGGTGGCCACTGCGGAGTTAGAGGTGGTGAATTGCAGACACCAGGAGCAGATTGCTTTTAAATGGTACATCAAGGCCCAGCCTTCCTGGATTAAATCTGTGAGGGCCTCAGTTCCAGTGCGCAGTAAATCCCATCAGCCTCACCATGTCCCTGGAATATTAGTTTCAGACCAGCAACAGGAATACCCAACAGCTGCAATTATGGAGTGATTTCTGTGTGCCAAGTACCAGGCAGGATGCTTTGCTCATATCAGTATCTCATCTACTGTTATTACCACTTTGCAGATACCCATTATCTCTCTTGCAAAGTGCATGTAATCCCCATTTCACAAAGAGGAAACTGAGGTTCAGGGAGGGGAAGTAGTTGGTCCTGTGTTGCAGAGTCCTCTGTTCCGCACTTTACTTGAACTGTCTCATTTAGTCCTCACAATAATCTCCAGTCTAAAGCTAATGTGCAGCTGAGTCTTAGAGAGGTTAATAACTTGCTGAAGGTCACACAGCTTGAGAAGAAACCAGGTTTCAAATGCAGGGGATTGGCCTGCAGAGCCTAAGCACACAGCCCCTGCCATAGTTGACATGCTTTTCCTTACTCTTCACCTGGCCTCTCCTCCTGTGGTCTTTCCCTCTGAACGTTTAAGGGTTTCTGAGCAAGGCAAAGAATCTGTGCCCAATGGGTGCTTTGAGCTGGGTTCTGTCCCTTATGCTCCCAGTCAGAGCTACTGCCAAGGCCACCTTTGCCTTTCTTCTCCTGTGGCGTTTACTGGAGCCCCTACCACAGACGCAAGTCAGGGTTCAGCTCACTGCGGCCCGTGCATCCGCAGAGACACACCCTGCAGGTCCTGGCGTGCATGGCAGACGTCGGCGTGCATGCAGACACAAGCCCTTTGCTCTGTGTCCCAGGCACGTGAGCCCTAGCTTCTCACCAGAAGCAGGAACACGAGTGGCCACAGGGCACCAACAGATTGTACTTGCTTTACCTTTTGATGCTTTATTTCACCCTATAGCTCAATAGAGAAGAACAAGGAATACGAAATAGACAGCAGTAAATTCTGAACCCCTAAGTAATGACATTCTCTGCCACCAGGAAGTCCTACCCTGGGTCCTGCTCCTGCTGGATCTCCATCCGTGCCTGCTACCCTGGCCTTTGGTGACCGTTTGTGTTTCTGGTATCCTGCGTAGGAACTTGGACTGCCTTGTCACATAGAAACCGTTTTAAGCCCATAGTTCAGCTTGAGAATTTAGCTTCTTTGTGGGTCAGACAGGCTTTTGTAGGCATCCTGGAAAACACATTCCCCTTCTCTACAAAAGGCCACCCAACCACCCCTTTGGTAGCACAGGACTGTGTGGGATGCGGCCTTTGTATTTGGTGATCTCAGATGTCACCTCCCACCAGAGGGTTTCTGAGGAAGCCCTGCCTGTCCTTTGCTATTTATGGGTAACCATGTGGATTTGGCTAAGCTCTAAATCAGTGTCTGTATATTCTTAGAAGGATTTTGAATATATGCTGAATGTAGTCATTTATCAGCTTTATGAAAAGGACATGGCTTCAGGCCAGTTAAATGGTAGGGATGAAACTCTTGGCTTTTGACCAGTGATAAAGTACAGTTTATAGCTAAGTTCCAGGAACTTGACTAAACCCAGCTAAGGTGAATGAGTCCATCGATAGTGAGAAAAAGTACAAAGAGGACCTCTTCTATTTTTACTCAGTTCAATAAAAATTTCTATTACTGAGCATAAACACAACACAACTTGTTTTATTCTGTGTCACAGAGTTAGGGGCCAAGAATGGGGACCTTGAGGTGTTGAAGCTCCTACTCTGATAATCTTCTCAGACTAATCCTGAGCAGATCGGTGGTGATGTTCGATTCTACTCAAGAGTTTTGAAACGATAGTGGTATTTATATATTTCTTTCAACTTGCTGAGAGCATTCTATACCTTCAAGGATTGTGAGGTATCTTTAAGTTACAGGAGTAAATCAGATTGTCCCCATGACTGCCAACCCCCTCCCTCATAGTCAGTTTTATTCTTTGAAGAATTGTCTTAAGTTTTTTAAGCCACCAAGGTCTCATTAAGTGCCTTTCAAAGCCATGATAACATTGTCCATTCATAAAAACAACCAGTTCTAGCTAAAAAATATACTGCTTTGGTTTCATCACTTGACATTTGTTTTTTTAAGAAATGCCACCTGTATCTTATTGGTCAGTAGTAGTGGAGCGTTAATGTACAAAATAGGGGCCTGGCACTCTAAAAATGTGAATTCCCTATAAGCCTCTAACTTTCTATCGTGAATGCTGGGGCTTGCAAGGACATTGGGCTCAGTTGTCTTTAAAAGTGTGAGGAAGAATTAAAACCTTTTCCCCGTGCCTGTAGGCGTTCATTCAGCAAATATGTAGTGAATGCCTCTGCTGTGTGGGCACATTGCTGGGCACTAGAAATAGTGTCCCCTTGTGATGACTAGATCTGTGTGGGAAACAGGCATTGGGCAAACAATCAGCCAAGTGATCACTGATTGTCCTTGCCGTGACTGCTGTGGTGAAGAATGACGGGCTGAGGGACACGTCACAGAGGCGTGACCCCGCCTGGCTGGGGGGCCAGTCAGCCAGAGCCCAGCTGGGAGCATGTGGCGCACACGGAGGGGCTCGGCAGGGAAGCCAAAGCGAGAGGGCTTTGCACGCCAAATTGATTACCTTTGAATTTTTATTCTAAGAAGACTGGGAAGCCACTGATGCGTTTTAACCAAGGAATACAATCAGATCTGCCTTTGTAAAATGATACTTTGCTGCAAGGAAAGTGATTAGGAGGAAGCAGGAGTGGATGGGGAAGACAGGGTTGTCTCCAGGGGTGATGCTTTGGGTGGATCGCTGCAGATGGGGACTGAGAAATGTGGACACACTTGAGAGAGCTGGAGCCTGTGGAACATGCAGGAAGTGGGAGTCACTTAGATGGCAGAGATGAGGGGCACAGGCAGTCAAAGTCACTCACAGTAGGTCCCCCAGTGTCAGACTAGCGCCTACGTGTGGAAGGAGAAGAGGAAAATCAGTTCAGAATGAGATTAAGATGCATATGAGGCGGCCAGTGGTGATGCCAAGGATGCAGCTGGGCTGTGCAGATACAGCCACGGAAGAGGAGTCGCAGGCGGGAACATGGGAATTACTGGTTTACGGCAGTGGAAGTGTACAGTGAGAAGAAAAGAGAATCTGGGCCTGAGCTCCGTGAACGCAGAGCAGAGGAGGAAACGAGACAGCAAAGAAAATGGATAAGGAAGTAGAAAGAGCACCAGGAGAGTCTGATGTCGTAGAAGTGAAAAAAATTTAGTATTCAAACATAAGAATGGAGTTAAAGGGGCCAGCTGTGCAGAATGCCCACGAAGGCCAAGAAGATAACAGCATCCTTTGGTTTCAATGACAAAGAAGATACTTAAATGTAGTTCTTGTGTAGTACTCTCTAGAAATGCCTTCATTTCCTTTCTGGGGGAAAGTCAGAAGAAACTGGAGGGCCCCGCCATGTACAACCTGCAGTTCCCTTTAATCTCCCCACACCCTGCTCCTCAGCTCTGCAGGGAGGCTCGTTCCCACCACCGACGTTGTTCAGAGGATTAACCAGGAAAATGGACATGAAAGGATTTTGTCAACTGCCAAGAGCTGGACAGATCTCACTTTTGAAGGACTTGTCAAATTCAGCTTAAATATTTCTAATGAGACACACCTCATGCTTCTGCTTACAGAACTTTTCATAGTTAAATGCTCACCCATTTGTTGTCGCCTTTCGCTGACAGTCTCTCTTAGCGTTCACTTTTCACCTGGGGTGAGCGGCCCAGTCTCGCAGAAGCTGTGCTAGCTGGAGCCCAAGCCCAGAGAAGCCACTGGTGTGCGAGGTGGTTCTTCTGAACCTCAGTAGTTTCTCCCAGATACTCTTAGACACCCCCCCGCAAAAAAAAAGTGGTGGGGGGGGCTGCGTATTTCTTTAAGAGCCACAGTGCAAGACAA